TCAATGTCATTGCTAACAGAAGCGAGCTCCAAGATGAGGGAGTTGTCAGGCCCTATCCTGTCGAATAGGATGCAGCCCCTTATCCTCCAAAATTTGAGGTCCCGTCGCTACAAACTTTTGACGGCACGGGATCACCGAACCAACATATCTATCATTTCAAGTCACAGACTGAGAATGTGATATCAAATGATGCCATACTGGCTCGATTGTTCATTGGTACCCTCAAGGGAGTTGTCTTTGAATGGTTCAGAAAACTGCCTGCGGGATGTATCCAAAAGTGGGCGGATCTAGAGAGACTCTTCCTGTCGAGATTCTTTGAAGAGGATACAGAAGTCTCCATCCATACCCTTCTCGTCACTAAGCAGAAGAAGATGGAATCCGTCAAAGCCTTCGTCAATAGGTTTCGAAACATGGCTCTGTGATGTTCGTCAGGTATGACACAGTCTACACTGGTAGAGACATGTCGACACAACTTGCAAACCGACCTCCCAGTCCGAATAGGAATTGCAGAATGCCGTTCTTGGAGACAACTAATCTCTCAAGAAGAACAGGCTCAAAAGATTATTGTCAGGATCAAAGCTGAAGAACAAAGTAGGCAGGATCAGCCTGAGCAATCGGACCCAGCCCAATCTTCTCAGTCAGAAGGGGAAGATACTACGGCCACTAAAGCTAATCCTCTTCAGTAGGATGCCAGGGTCTCTAATAACTATCACGTTAATAATTACCTCTGATAGTCAAGCTCGTTAGATAGTGGCTCATCAGGCGATGTGCCATGTCTGCTCCTTTTTCCCCTCTACATTTGTTCAAGACTGGGGGTTGGTTTATCTGTAGTTCATTGGATTATGAATAATAATTTTTTTTAAGTTGTCATGTTCAATAGAATACCTCTGTCAACCACGAAGTCTACCAAAACTATCACATTAATGATCACCTCTGATAGTCTATCAATCTGCCAATCCGCTTAAATAGGATGGCAGGTCCATAAAACTATTACGTTAACGGTTACTTCTGATAGTCCCCCAATCTGCCAATCCTCTTCAATAGGATGGCAGATCCTCAAAACTATCACGTTAACATTTACCTCTGATAGTCCTTCAACTTGCCAATCCTCTTCAATAGGATGGCAGGATCACAAAACTATCACGTTGACATTTACCTCTGATAGTCCATCGGCTTGTCAATCCTCTTCAATAGGATGGCAGGATCACAAAACTATTACGTTAACATTTACATCTGATAGTCCATCGACTTGTCAATCCTCTTCAATAGGATGGCAGGTTCACAAAACTATCACGTTAACAGTCACCTCTAATAGTCTATTAATTCGCCAATCCTCTTTAATAGGATGGTAGGTCCACAAAACTATCACGTTAACAATTACTTCTGATAGTCAAACTCATCAGATAATGACCTACCAGGTGATGTGCCTCTATTTTGACTTCATGGATAGTACCCCACTAGGCGATGTGTCTTGTCTACCTCTTTTTATTCCCCTGTTAAGTCTTAATCAAGACTGGGGGTTGGTTACTTGAAATCCATTGGATTAAGAGTAACGAATCTTTCACATCGTCGATTTAACATTACACTTCTGACGATCATCATCCCCATAGAGTATGCATTCAACTCGCATTACTCCTAATTTGTCACGTTAACAACATACACCTCTGACAATCAACTTATCAATCCTTACCAATAGGATGATCGGTCCTCAAAATTGCGCAAATCGTAATCTTCCCCAGCAAGACACTAAGTCTTCAAAATCTTATTCAAATCACAAGCATCAAAATTCATCACTTCTGATGATAAACTCATCCATCAAGTTTCCCCAGCGAGACGCTAATTCCTAAAATCTTATGCAAGTCACAAGTACACATTCTCTTGTCACGTTAATATCAAACACCTCTGATAACCCACTTATCAATCCTCTTTAATAGGATGATAAGTCCACAAAGTTGCTCCGATCGCAACACATTCCTGTCACGTTAACATCATACCTCTGACAACCCACTTATCAATCCTCTTTAATAGGATGATAAGTCCACGAAGTTGCTCCGATCGCAATACATTCCTGTCACGTTAACATCATAGCTCTGACAAAATTAACTTATCGACTCTCCTTAATAGAGCGATAGGCCCATAAATTTTAGTCAAGTTAACATCACACCTCTGACGATCAAACCAACTTATCGACTCTCTTCAATAGATTTTAGTCAAGTTAACATCACACCTCTGACGATCAAACCAACTTATCGACTCTCTTCAATAGAGCGATAAGCCCATAAAATACTGTTAGGTTAACATCACACCTCTAACAGTCAAATCCCCCAATGAACTTGTTAATCTCTTTTCAACAAGAATAGCAAGTTTTTATTATAAAATTCCTAGCGGATTAAATATTTTCTGGAATTATCCTATTGATAATAAAGAAAATTTCTGAATTTCACTCTAAATGGAAATTCATGCCAAGTTAATATTACACCTCTGGCGCTTCCAACTTTCTTTCAGTGTTTCAAGTAACACAGGAAGAAATAATGACAAAGCCTACGTATTCAATATCGTAGCGGGTCGTTATTAATAACGTCAAAATCTATGCCTTACACGCATGGAAAAATTTATCCCGAATCCTAAGTAGGGATAAGTCAACGCCTAACACGCGTTGTCGGTTAGTCTTTCACCGTAAAAAAAGACAAAAGTCTACGTATTCGACATCGTAGCAGGTTGTTATTAATAACACCAAAATCCATGCCTTACACGCATGGGGAAATTTATCCCGAATCCTCAGTAGGGATAAGTCAACACCTAACACGCGTTGCCAGTTAGTCTTTCACCGTAAAAAAGATAAAAATCTACGTATTCAACATCGTAGCAGGTTGTTATTAATAACGCCGAAATTCATGCCTTATACGCATTGGGGACTTTATCTCGATTTCTAATTAGAGATAAGCCTACGCCTAACACGCGTTGCCGGTTAGTTTTTTTTCGTAAAAATGACAAAGTCTATGTATTCAAAATCATAGCATCAAGTCTAAGAGGGTTCATTCTCTTAGCACAACGTTACATGTGAAATGGATTCAAATAATTCACATGCTAGCCCGACTCAAACGGTAGTCGGTAAAGGCTTATCAAATCAGTTTATGGCTGAGGGTTTGTTAAAAATCCTATGCATGTTCGTAGATCCATTAACTTAATGGATGTGAGCCGGGACTTGAAATAGATGAGCTAAAGATAAGTCTCAAAGACTTAGTCAAAAATGTACGAAAGTCACTTCCATGTCTTAAGTTAAAACGCTAAGGTCAGACCCGCGATGCAAAAACCAAACGCTGAGGTCATACCCGTGTTCCAAATTCAACATGCAAGGGTGAGACCCGCGTCTTACGTTCAAAATGCAGGGTTCATCCTCCGCATTCCAGAAGTAGGATTGTGATGCATACCTTCGCACAGGTCCTGCATGGCAAATCTCATCAACCAAGATGCATTCAAAACGAGTGCAGAGAACGACTCCTTTACGACAAGGAATCAACAGCTCCAAGATCAGAGTTGAGATCCAAAGTATTCCGAAAATTCGTCCCAGTCAACCGCGAACTTTCGAAAACTTTGGAGGGGTGCTGTAGGCTGTCTAAAAAATCAAAATAGATAGCTGACCCCCTATCAAACACCGATGATGGAAGTTACGATCTGACGACTTTCAGAAGGGTATAATTTGAAGATTTTCACGTAGATTAATGAAGGTTACAATCTGACGACCTTCACAACAACCGATGAAAGCTCTAGTTCAACAGTCTTCACAATCAATATCGGGAGTTACAATCTGACAACTCTCGTATTTTCGAGCAGCCAAGGTGAAGATCATTTAACAATGGTCTTTATAATGCTCTACAGAAGAAGCTACAAGTCAACTAGCCCCTTCTAAACGCGGAAATCATCTCCGCGTTTCAATTCTTGAAACGCAGGCGATCCCCGCGTTTCCAATCCTAAGCAAACCAAACGCGGGCGGCCCTCGCGTTTTTCAACACCCAGCGAGTACCCAACTCCGCGTCTCCATTCTAAAACGCGGAGTTAGGGTCCTGAACGCCAACGTGGGCGTTTGACTCGTTCAAACACGAGCTGAACGGTTGCAGGAACCGTTTTCCCTCCACGATTTGAGGGATTTCCGCCCCACTTAGGAGCGGATTAAGGGGGCGGTTACACCCCTCTCAACCCCATTATGGAGAAAATTAAGGGGGGTGGTTACACCCCTTAATTCCCTATAAATATGGGTAAACTTAATGAGTTCGGGCTGGCTTTTTGGATCTGAGACTTGGCAGCGATGGGGGAACTTCTTGGCTCGGATTGACCTTGGAGCTTAGCAGCAAAGAGAGGATATTGGGAGCATTCTCGGATCTGGAGATCGACCACTGGAGCTCTCTTCTGGCCTTGGCATATTAACCGACTTTCGGTTCAAATCAACTCTTTCATAGAGTTTCAAACTCGTTCAGAGTTATCAACTCATCAAGAGTTTTAAACTTGCCACGCAAGTTCTCCACAGCGTCGAATCGTGAGGAGAAGACATCGTTCTAGTGAATCAAAACGTCGGATCGTCAACAGAGAGCAAACTCGACGCGAGCATTCGAGGGAGGCACTCCATCGCCACCGTGAAGAACCCAGACTTAAACAAAGGGGAGAATCAAATTCATTCTCCTCTCTTTTGTAATTAGAAAATCCAAATTGTAATCGATTTTGAGAGAATACAAGTCAATTTTCTTTCACTGTCTTTTTACTACAAAATTTTTCCACAAACATTATCC